GCTTGACTGCTGCTTGGTGTCTTGAAGCTGCCCATTGAGTCTTCCGGAGAAAGGCGTGGCAGTCTGCTTCTGCAATGGCCGTAGCCCATGGAAAGTTCCACCCCATGACATTGGGTAGCCCTGAGTTGGAATTGACTTAACAACACTCACTGTGACCAAATCAACATCAACAGAAAATTCAAACTCACTGCCACCCTATCAGACAGAGTAGAACTGCTCTGGTGGGTGTCCGAGACTGTTTAACTCTTTACAGGGGTAGAAATCTTCATCTTTCTTCTGAGGAGTGACTGGTGGTTTCAAACTGCTGACCTTGCTATTAGCAGCTTAACACGCAACCCATTGCACCACCAGGATCCTTATCTGATATGTGGTTCTCACAACCCCCCTCCCCATTCTCTAGATTGTCTATTCCCTTTATTGTACAGATATTTTCAATAGACAAAATTTATCTATTCTGTCTTTTATTGTCTGTGCTCTTGATGCCAGGCTTAACAACATATTGTTGGCGACTAAGTCCTGAAGCATTATCCCTATGCTTTGTTCTAAGCGGTTGATGGTTCTAGGTCATGTATTTAGGTCTTAGATCTATTTCGGGTTAGTTTTTGTATATGGTGTGTTGTATAGGTTTAATTCCACGGGCATGACACAATCCATTTGTCTCAATAGTATTTATTAAAGAGATTATTTCCCTCCACCCTCTTAATAAATTTAGCACCTTTGTTGATGATTAATTATCCATAGATTCACGAGTTTAACTCTGGACACTCAACTCTGTCCCCCTTGGTCAAATATATTTGTGATTAAGCCAATACCAGACTACTTTGACTACTGTAGCGTTTCTCATACATTTTGAGATTAGGACGTGAGAATCTTCTTGCCCTGTTCTCATTTTTAAGATCGCTTTGATTATTCAGGGCCCCTTGCAGCAGTTGTTCCTTAATTTGAGGGATTGCTGCAAAGAAAGGTATTGGCGTTTCGATGGAGATTGTATGTATAGATTTCTCTCAGTAGCATTGACATCATGACAATATCAAGTCTCCTGATTCAAGAGCACAGAAGGCCCAGAACCATGGAGTACCAGATATAATTTTCTCTCCTTTCTATGCAGTAAGTCCTTCTCAACTGGATCCTTTTCACAAGCATACATCTAAACATGCTGCTTTGCAGTTAACTACATAATAGGACCCTTCTATCTATAGCTTTCCATTTTGTGATGTGTTATAAATCTTAGCTTCCATGCCCACAGTTATGGTTCCATCCTTGAGTGAGTTTTCCATTTTATTCATGTGGCGGACTAGAGTGTGATGCATCTTGAATCACTAGAGGGTGTAACTCAAATCACTACTCTCGCAGCCCTTTTAACCCCTTGCTCCTGAAAGGAGATTTTCTTTGAGGGTCTCCAGTATCTATGAATGTTCTAGCAAAGTTCTCTCTCTTGCGATGAATCCTACCTCTAGCTCCTCGTCGCCTGGCATCTGGCTCTTGGAAGTTGAGCCGGCAGTCTATCCTCTGATCTGATTCACTGGCTGTTAACCACTTGTGAACCTGTGACCCATAATCTGATCTGCTGATTTGGGTTTGTCAGCCACTGCGACCATATGAGTCAGTGAAGGCCCTCAATCTGACACCGGGCACATGGATTTGGGACTTTCAGCCACCACAATGGCATGAGCCATTTCCTTGACACTTCATGAGTTCTGGTAGACATTGCAGTGAATTATAGAACCCAAAGATGGGAGAGAGGTTACTGAGCCTTAGTAATACTAAGGGGAAGAGGAGTTGATCTTTGAGGTGATGGAGTGGTACAGCCGTTTGGAAAAGTTGGACAATTGGGATACCTTTAACCTCTCCCTCACGGGAGCTAGTTTGTTCTGCACCTTCTAAAAAAACTTATGTACATGCTGAAGTTGCTGTTATCTTTAAAAGCTTCTCTTTCAGCAGTACAATCACCTCCAACATCTAAAACCTCTCCTCCTATTCACTACTAAATCCTGAAAGAGCTGTTTATTCTCCCTGACTCCATCTCTCCCCTTTCAGTTACTGTTCATGCCCTCAAATGCAATTCAGGGTCAAGTCCTTCCACCCTGGCTTTCAGTCAGGCAACTTCCATGCCAGTGGAACCCCATTGAGGGAAGGGCATATCACGGGTTTGGGGCTGGCCCTATAGACCTTGAGGTGCCTCCGAGGGATCCCAGGGACACGTGGCATGGACCTTTGGACAATGGTGGTGGTAGCAAGCTGGGAAGTCTGAACTGGAGATATCAACGTTGTGGTCTCCACCAGTGTACGCAGATATGGTCATGCAACAGATGACACAAATACAATGTGGTCCCTTAGGGGAGTGTCTGAGGCAAATTTGAGACGACGTCAGAATCACTGGAAGGACTTGTGAAAAAGCAGATGGGTGCACACCACTCCACGAGCCTTTTACTTCAGTAAACAACTAGCCACCAGAGGATGAGCCTTTGCATGTCTATCAAGTTCTGAGATGACAGTGTTGCCGTGGGCCTGGGTCCCACACTTTGAGAACCACTGGTTTGGAGGGAGCCTGGGGCTTGGTTAGAGGCTGAGTTCTGGTAGGAGGAGGCAAAGGAAACAGCGACAACGCCGAGCAGGACACTAGCAGGCCCACGGAGAGCGTTCCAGGGGAAGGTGTAGGGGCACGTGGACTACATCTCCCAGGGCGCACCGCGCGTGACTTGCGCGCGCCCCTGGCGGTGGCTCGCGGGGGAGGCTCGGGCAGGTTCCCGGGGACCTTTCCGAGCACCCAGAGCGACGCGCTGAGGAGAGCTGCTGCTGCGGACTGCGGCGGCGCGGCGGGAACCGAGCGGGAGCACAGGTGGCCGGTGAGTCGTGGCTGGCTGCCCCGCGCCCCCGCCGCGTCGCTCTCTCCGGACCGGGCCGGCGAGCGCTGGGATCCGGGGGTCGGTGCGGGGGCGCCCGACGGTCCGCTGCGCGGGCAAGGCGCGTCCGCGGTCGTCTCCGCCGGCGTCCTGCTCCGGGTGGCGCGGCGCGTCCTGCCCGCAGCCCGGGACCGACCACCTGCCTGGCGCTGCCGGGACCCCGCGTGGTGGGGTCCGGGCTGTCTGTCGCAGTGGCAGGTGGCAGGTGGCTGCCCCCTCCCTGGGTGATTGGCGCAGCAACTCGTGATGCAGGGCTAAGGGGTCCGGCCGACTGCAGCCCTGGAGGTGCCCCCCGCCGCCGCCGCCCGCCCAGCGCCGTGGGACAGGTGCGTGGGTGCCGGGCCTGGGCTGCCAGAGCGAGCGAGCCCCCCCTTGCCCCCCACCTCACCCCTGGCTCCCGCCTTGGCGGTGCTCGGTGGAGGGCAGTGTGATGTCGGACCGACGAGCCCTGGACTGTCCTCCGTGTCCACGAGCTCCCGGCCTTCCTCCTGCGCTGGTGCCCCCACGCAGTGCCGCCGGTGAGCCCTGGAGCCCCGGAGGACCATTCTGATGCTAATAGGTGGCCCAGGGATGGCGAGGCTTGTCATGAATGCCACAGTAACAACCTCCCAAGTATCTTAGAAATAAAATTAGCGTTATATGCATTTTTTTAAAACAAGGACGTTTGACCCTGGATATCTGCTTTTTATTTTTGCGGGACCTCCATTTGCCAGCACGTAAGTTTCCATCATAAGCAGTACACAGTTTGAAAAATATGACTTGCAGGTACTCTTCCTTGCCCTCTATCGGAAGAATTATGTCAGACTGGTTGGAATGCTTAGCCATTAGTAACTGCGGTAGCTGGAGGCCAGAGATAATGTATTTTTGAGCAGTCAACTCAATCCGTGGTTGCAGAAGATTTTGTTATCCATTCTCAACACGATGTCATTAACGTTTTAAGATGGGGGAGAACGAGAACAAGCAAAAGGTAGGTCGTCGACAATGACACTCACAGAAAATTGCTTTGCATGGTTAGCTTTCAACCAAGAAAGTTTAATCTGGTGGCTAAAGCTAGATCAAATACGGAGCCCCTCTACAATATACTGTATTCATTTTTGTAGTTTTTAGTTGCTTTATTTGGCTGCTCTAGGTAAACAGTCTTAGGTAAGAAACAACAGATGTCTCTTTCTAGTGTCTGTACTTCTTATTTCTTGCCTTCCATTGACCACTCTCTGTATCTTGTGGGATGTTAGACGTCTTCGCTTTGGGTTTAATTCAGAGGAATGCTCCCAGTGTTCTCATGAAGTATTTTCTTTATTTTATTATGCAAGTTTCCATTTATGCCTAATTTTTAAGATTGAAAATAAATGACTTTTGAATTGTTGTTAATGCTTTTGTGTGGCGTTCATTGTTCTGACTATGTAGTTTATCTTCCTTACACTTGCTAACATAGGTGATTATGTTACAGGGTTATCTGTTTATAAAATATGGGGGCAATTTAAAGTACACTTTTAGGTTGTGAAGCATTTTAATGGATTCCATGAGCTAACTTTAAGAGCTTAGTATGGGACAATGCTGCAGACACAGTGGGGGATTGTGCCCGGTCTGACCCCATCACACTGGGGCGAAACACTGAGGGCATCCAACAGAGCAGCAAGGGGAGCAGAGTGATGAAATCCCCAGGGAATACCAAAAATAGACTTTG